CGATGTAGGTGTCACAACTGAGCACACTGGGGCCCACAGAAGATAAGTGACTTATCCAAGGCCACAGAGCCTTTTGAAGGACCCAGCCTGCTCTCCACAGAGCTAGTTTGCCCTGCCTAGATACCCAACTCAATGTTGAGTCTGACCTACGTTCTTCCTGATGGTTTGTTCAGCCTTCAGTGGGGGCGGGAGGGCCTTAGTCTACCTCTGAGCACTCAGAGACAGCAACAGACCCGTCCTCTGGTCCTTCCTCTCCTGGCAGCTCATCCCCATACACTACGCCTCATGGAGCCACCATTCCAACTCTAGTATTTGCCCCAAGATGGATGTCAGACACCGCTTCCCTCAAGGCAAAGTCTTGCTGCTCTCTGATGAGTGGGGTAGAGGTTACTGATCGCAGAAGTCTTTTTTGTGTGTTTGTTGTTGTTGCTGCTGCTGTTGTTCTCTGTTTTATTTTGTTTTGGACTTTTTGAAGCAGGGTCTCCCCATAGCCCCAACAGGCCTGGAACTCACTATGTAGACCAGTTGGCCTTGATCTCACAGAGATCCACCTGCTTCTGCTGGGATTAAAGGTGTGCACTGCCACACATGGGTCAAGATCGAGGCACATTCTTTGGCCGACAGAATGGATCCTTTAGGTCCCCGCACAGCCCCAAACCTGTGAGTCCAACTGCTGATTCCCCACATTTCTCAACCCTGGACCCCAGTTTGGACCAGGGCATCCTGCACTCCAGATCCCAGTGTGACTACTGCTGCCCAGCTACTGAGTTTCCCTTCCCCTCTTCTCTAATCTGCCATGTGCTAGCAGACAGCCTGGGCCTCAGAAAAGAGATAAGAGACTCAATGTCAGCAAGGGCAAGGCCAAGCTGGAGCTGACCAAGTGACAAGAAGTGACTTCCCTACACACCGAATAGAAGGTCTCTGGGGAGGAGCCAGCAGCAGCTTGGGGCGAGGAGACACAAGGAAGGCAGAGTCCTCCTCCTGACTTCGCTCTCTGAAACCCTCACGAACGCGCTGGACCCAGGACAAAGGACTCGTGTGCCACCTGGCTGGTGTCCACCTGAAGGCAGGAACTACATTGCTTGTTCGAGTCTCTGTGTGCCCATCAGAACCGGCACTCAGTAAACAGCAGACCAGGACAGCTTCAACATGATCCAGTCAAGTGGTAGGTTATCATGTAATAGTAAGTTCCAGGGGTGGGGGTGGCCCAAATCCCACTCCTCTGTCAGGGTGGCTGGAAGAGTCATCTGTAGAAATGAACTCCCCCACAAAACACATTTAAGTCTGGTTCACGATGAAGCTCAAGGGCTGGGACTGGGGCTGGGGCTCAGTGATAAAGAGCTTGGCTAGCATGTATGAGGCCCTGGGTTCTGTCCCAGCACTGAGGGAAGATGGGGAGAAGGAGACCCGAATAATGGGGTCAAAACAATAGGACAAGTATTGGGAATAGCAGCTGGGCGTGGTAGCGCACGCCTTTAGTCCCAGTCCTCCCAAGGCAGAGGCAGGCAGATCTCTGTAAGTTCAAGGCCAGCCTTCTCTACATAGTGAGTTCCAGGCCAGCTGGGGCTGCAGTGAGATCCTATCTCAAAAAGACGAAAAATAATAGTAATAACTGGGACTAGCTGCTGGCCTCTTACCCGGCATGACACATTATACCTCTGCTCATGTCTTACAGTCCTTCAGAGTTGGGTGCCAATAGCACTCCCATTTTGCAGAGGAGGAAAGTAAGGCTCAGCTAGGCAAGAGGGATGGCCTGTCCCTCAGCTTGGACATACAGAGGTACAAGAGTCTCATCAATCAGCTCAAAGAGGGTGAGCTAGGCCTCGAGGAACTCAGCAAAACTGTCACTGATCTGAGTCCTGTATGAGCTGGAGGGCAGGATAGGAGGGTCTTCCCCTCTGCTAACCTGCTGCTGGAACTTCCTTCGAAGGCTGAGGATAGTGTTATAGGGCAGTAATCAGTACATAATCTCATCTGCATAAGAAGAAAACATTGCTCCCGCCAGACTGAACCCAGGTGTACCCAGTCAAGCCAACATGGAGCCTTCAGACCTACTTACACTTGAGTGTGTACACACTCTACACAAAAGGCCATAAGCAGCAGCAGAACTGCCACCCAGGGATGGTACAGGACTGACTCAAGTGGGAACCTCTGGGCCTTGGCTTTGCAGCCCAGGATGGCCTAAGACACCCACCCCCCAGCATTGGTCAGAACTGTGGTTTTCTAGCATGTGCAAGACCCTAGATTCAAACCCCAGTACCAAAAATAAGCACTGTGATTCTTCAACTGGGGTCCCCCAAAACCAAGAACCAAGATCAATACATAACACACACACACACACACACACACACACACACACACACGTATATGTATGTACACCAGTGAGTATGTCTATGTATACCAGTGAGCCCCCAGGATCCCTCTATGTCTACCTCCCTGGTACTGAGGTTATAGTCATGGGCTTCATGGGCTGCAGTTTCCAGCTTCTACATGAGTGCTGGGGATCTGAACTCAGGTCCTTGTGCTTGCTTGGCATGCTCTTTCCCATGGAGCCATCTCCCTGACCCCACAATTCACACTTTCAAGGATGCCAATCCCAATCCAGACCTAAGGATCTAGAAATGGATGGCATACTCAGCTGTTTGCCATCCCCAAGTGTGGGGGGTGGGGTGGGGTGGGATTCTAGCATGTACAAGGGGAATCCTTCCTAGGTGACTCTTCTCTTGACCTCCTACAAAGAATTCCCCTGGAAGAAAGAGCAGATGGCGCCACACCCCAGGAGGAGGAAGGAAATGCTTCTGGGGCCTGCCACAGGCTCACTGTTTTACCTGCTGGCATGATTTTCCTTCCACAAAATCTTCAGCCCTATTATGTGTCTACACAAGGAGAGACAGCTGTTGGCCACACCAGAGCCTGCCTGGAGGGAGCCAGTTTCCAAAGGGAGACAGGCCAGAGGCGAGTGAACCCCTACCCCTAATAAGGCAGAGAAGTGCCCAGCCTACCTCCATGCCTAACCAAAACTGCTCCACATCTCAAAAGGCCTTTAAAAATAGCTCAGCCCAGCATCATGGGTACAGGGCCTAATAGAGCTTTGCTGGCCCTATTCTCCCCCAACCCCAAGTTGATGGTTAGTCCCAGAGAGATGGGGCTGGAACAAAGGGCCTCTGGCCCCTGCAGCCTATAGCATCCAGAATCCACCACCATGGGCCAGGACCCCAAAGGGAAGTACAGAAAGGTTCTTGGCATGAGCCTGGGGTCTCTCCCTGGGCAAAGCTTCAGAGGAACAAACCCAAGTACAATTCCCAGCACTGTCTACAGACTAGCTGTGACATCCTGGGTAGGTATGCTACCCCACTCACCTCTCCCAGCCTGTTTCCTCTCTGTCAACAGCTGCAGTGTCGAGCACACACCAGGCTATCAGTGTGGAGTCAGGCTGATGATGCAGTGCGAGGCGCATGATGCACTCAGTAAGCAGGACGCCTGGCTTCATGTGGCTCATGGTGGCCCCTGCCCTACACCATGGAGACTGCCTGGTGTACCCAGAGTCACCATTCCCACAGGAGTCCGTGGAGGCCTCTGCCTCCCCCAGGTCCACAAGCAGACAGTTTGCTAAGCTTGAAGGAGGGTACAGACTACCTCAGGGACAGCAACAAGCCAGCAAGGACCACCCACCCACCTGCCAGCCCTGGAAAAAGAGCACACATGGGCAGTCAGGCCCCAAGGTGCATCCCTCCAAGAACAGCTCCAGGATGGGACTTTTCTAATACTCAGCTCCTGGGGACAGGGGCCAACAGAGGACACAGTCAGAAAAGACCCCTTTGTTCTTAGCCCACAGGGAGTGAGAATTGTAGGGCTAAGGCACAGGGTTAGCCAGACCTGCAAACGTGCCCAGAAGGTAGGTGGAGCTGGAGGAGGGAGGCAGAGGCTGTGCACTGCACCAGAGCCTCCATCCACACTCCGGCTATCAGTCAATCTCCTGCCTTCCAGGATGGTGCAGAGGGTTGAGCCAAAGCTGCCCTGGCCCCTCTCCTGAGTTCACCCCAAGCCGGAGCCATTGCCCCCTTGCAAGTTGAACAGCCAGAGATCTACCACACCTGCATATCCCCCCTTCCTTCCAAATAAAGACAGGGTGGTCAGGATCCAGAGCCATGAATCCCCGGTGAGAAGGGCCCCCCTGGAGAGGCTGCGGGAGGGGAACACTTGGTGAGAGGACACTGGGATGCCAACTAGAGAGCTGTGAAGTTAAGCTAGTGGAGAGAGACACCTGGGACTGACCTAGAGGGCCGTGGGGCCTCCGTGACGCCTCACCGGACAGACCTTCCTTCTGGGGGCTGCCCCAGATGGCTGAGTAATCAAACCCCACTGGTCAGTAATCAAACCCAACCGGTCAGTTCCAGTTGAATCAACCCATTTCCTGGTGTGGCAGCAAGAAAAGATGAGACCAGGGAGAAAACCGCTGCCTACCAACGCGTCAACCCACACGGCACCCAGGACCCTCGCCATCACTGCCTTGAGCTCTCTCTCTCTACCAGGTCTCGCCACCCTTCGCCTTCCCAACACAGTCACACGACCGGCCGGGGCCAGGGAGAGGGCGACAGGCCAACCTCACTAAGTAGCAGTAGCGGCGGCGGCGGCTGCATCGTGATGCTGGGATCACCCACCCACCGCGCTCCTGACCCGGGCTCCGCGCAGTCAGAGCCACACTACGCCCGGGCGCCCCCTCCCGGGACCACCGCCCCCCAAACCCTGGCACAGCGGACAGGGCGGGCCGCGGGCGGGCTGGGGATGCGGTGGGGGCCTGGGGTGGTCCCCAGAGCGGGATGACAGGCGACACCCCGCCAGACCCGGGGGCGGGGGCGGGGGCGGGGGCAGAACAATGGGCCAGGTGCGGGGCAGGGGCGAGGCCGGGAAGGACGGAGGGAAGGTCGTGGCGCGCGGGGGTCCGGCCCGGGAGTGGGGCGCAGGGCTGGACCGGGGATCCAAGTCCGGGGCGCACTCACAGTAGGTTTTCCTGGTCAGCTCTTCCACAACTTCAGGTTTCAACTTGCTGTTGGATTTCCCCATCCTCGGCGGCCGCGGCCCCCGCTCCCCGGGCCGGACCCGCTCGGGGCGCCCAGCGGGAGCGGCTGGGCCGGGCCG